CACGAGCTGCTGGACCTGGTGGCTGACCATACGCCTGCTGCTGCCGCGGCTGGACATGCTGATGACCACCATACTGTGCATACTGCTGATAGTAGCCGCGACCACCTCGGCCACGACTACCCCGAGCTCGACCACCACCACGATTACCTCGACCAGCACGAGGAGGACCACCCCCTCGGCCCGGACCAGCTGCCGCGGGACCCAGGACTGCTGCCGCAAAAGCTTGGTGGGCAGGTGCTGCATCTTGCTCGCGTAAAAAATTGTTACGGTGTTCCTGAGCCTGAAGTATGGGACGTAGATTCTCCAACGTGGCATTGACCGGGAAGTAATTGATAGCCGTAATCAAGGACTCATAGTCACGCCCCAACCCAATAATAGCATACTCAATCAAATCCCGATTGCTAACCGGGGAATTAATACATGCAAGATTATCAGCCATGATCTTGATTTCAAGCAAATACTGATCCATTGTTTGATTTTCTTTCTTTTTCACATGTGATAATAGGCGTTTAAGTTCAATGGAACGAGTAAAGCATGCAGACATGAAACGTGATTGAAGTCTATCCCAAATAAGATGAGAAAATTTGAGGTCATAGACTTCCATCAAGATATCTTTAGCCAAAGTAGCAAATAACCAAGATCGTACCGTTTGATCAATTTTGAGCCAGTGATGATAATCAGTCGTGGTTGGCGGTGGGGCTGAAATGGAACCATCAACAATTCCCAATAGACTATGAGAAACTAAGAAGGATTCAAATTGAGTCCTCCAGGGTAAATATTCCTCAACCGCCGACAACCGAGTTGTGACAATATTATTAACATTAGGTGTAGAAAACACCAATTGAGATGCCAAAGAGGATAAAGTAGTAGGAATATAATTGAAACCTGGCAGTTGGCTCGGCTGTGGCTGACTTACTGGTGCAAGCCCTGGATGGCCAGAAAACGTGGGGCCATGAAAAGTGACTGGAGGAGCTCCATGCAGTGGTGTAATCATCGAGACAGACCGAGGTTAAAAAAAAGTTAGTAAAAAAGAAAAGATGGGATGAGAAACACACCTGGGGTATGGTTGTATGGGGTATGTTGAGGAAATCAATATTGGAGAACGAAACAGAGCAATTTGGGGGATCACCCGGACATATATATTGAAAAGGAAGAGGCCAGGACCACAGCCATGGGATAAATTACAGCTATGGGGCTTACTCGTATGTCACTGTGGGGTCATCTGGAGAAGATTATGACATATTAGGGAGGCCTGTTGGGAACTGCCTTTTGCTGGTGAAGCTCCCTTCAAGGCTTCAAAGAGCATCCTGATACTGTTGGTGGACAGTGGTGCAATGATGAGTGGGCTTCGGGAGGCTGTGCGTATTGTTGACGTATTGTTGACAGGTACTGATTTCACTGTAGAGGTGGAGGCCATGGAGGATGCAAACAGACATTTGGATGTTGAAGAGAGTGAAATTGGAGACATCACAAAGAGACTTGATGCAATAGACCTTTCAAATGTCATGTGTAAGAAATCTTTAGATGGTACCCAGATTCTAACCAGGGATTTGCATTGGGACATGTTTTATAATGCTATAACAACAGCTGGAAGATTACATTTGCTCAAGGAATTGTTGAATCTTCCTGTGGACATTCTAAAATCATTTGCTGGAACCAAAGGTCTCATACTCTCATCACACTTAATTCGTAGATATTGGTATGTTGTTCCTTCCCACCAACGATTTCCACTTCTCTTTTTGGATATTGCACCATGACAAAAAATCTCTAATTTGATATTTTGATTTGTTCTCTTCTACAGGATTCTCTAGGAAAAGATGGGACTCAGCTCTTGCGCCATTATGTCCATCTACTTGTTTCAACTGATTTAGTTGCCGTGCGTTTATCTGGTATATACCTCTATCACTCTGCTATGCATATCTATTAAATTTATGCTGCTAAAAAATTTATGCAATTATCTAGTGTATCGTTTGACTGGCTCACTTATTTTGTTGGACACCATTTTCTGCTATACTTTTACTTCTTTTGTTGCATGTGATTTTCTTTCCATTTCTTGTGACTTTTTTCATTGTCTTCACCTAGGCAGTCGGAAAACTGTAAAAGAAAAAGTGTGTGTGCATACAAGCCGTCATGTTCGTGCTATCCCAAGCCAGCTTGTAAATGTGTGGATAGAAATATTTAGGAAGGAGAAGGCTTCTAATGGTCTAAGACTATTGAGGCAATCAACTATTTCTCACCCACCAAAACTGGTATTGCATCTGGCAAATCACCTTAACGTACGACCTGCATGACTCCTGAAAGCAGGGGCGGATCCAGCCATCCAAGAATGTGAGATGCCCTGGGCTTAATAAGAAATATACTAGACTTAAACATCTGCGGGGTGGGCTAAATATAAAAAATGAGAAAATTTACCCTAAAAAATCAAAAAAATTCTAAGTTGCCCTGGGCTTCAGTCCACCATAGTCTATACATAGATCCTCCTCACCTGCCCGAAAGCAAACGAAGCTTGGGAATTGTAACTGCTGCTGGAGACCAAGTACACTTGAATTCAAACTATACAAAAGTGGAGCTAAAGCCATCAAAGTTGGAAGGACGGGGACCTAGCACTCATTCTCTCAAGGTTCGGTAGGAAGGCAAAATACTACAGTTGTTGGAAGCCAGAATTTCCCATTGTCTGATGAGGAAAAGAATGCTATTGTTGCCGCAGAAGCAGCTCGTACTGCTGCTCGTGCAGCTGCCGATGTTTGTCTTTGTTATCTCTCTTAGGTACATTTATAAGCCGTTACTGAATAAGTAATTAAATTAAACAGCTGTTACTTACAGTCTGAAAGTGATTTCAATTGTGCTATGGAGCCGTTTTAGCACGCAGTGGACCGAGAACCTTTGTATTGGAGCAGTTTGCTCTAGATAGAGGTAGGGATGGACTCGGGCCGGGCGGCCCGATCCGGAACCGGCCCGGCCCGGCCCGGTTACTGTTGAGCCCGGCCCGACCCGGGAACCGGTGGGCCCAGCGGTTCGGGTCGAACCGGCCCGGCCTTTGGGCGGTTCGGGCTCGGGCCTATGTTTTGGTGAACCGGCCCGGCCGGTTCGGGCTCGGTTCGGGCCGGAATTTAATTTTTTTTTTTTTGAAATTTTTTAAAGTTTTGGGTTAGATTAGGTATTTTGGGCCATTTGAGGTGGTTTGGGGTGGTTTGGGAGCAGTTTGCTCTAGATAGAGGCAATAGCAAGCGCTATTATTTAATAGCGCTCAATAGCACTGCTATAATTTACTTGGCTTTTCTACTCTCAAATTTGGGAGCCAAATTTGGGAGTCAAATTTGGGAGTATTTTTGAGAGTCAAATTAACTAATCATGAAATCAAGTAAATGCTCCGTAAACCTTATTAATTCATTCATACTTGATACTCTAAGGTCTCTAAGCAATTACTTCCACAGTTCCACTTTAGCAAAAACAATTACCCCATATTTTTTTGCATAAAGTTCATTCTACTACGGAGTCTACGGTACTAGTAACTAGTGTACAACGGAATACCTCTTAGGGGGTCCATAACTTCTTTAATTAATCGAGAATTTACTCTAAATAGGACCAAAAACATTTGTAAATTTCAAAATGGAACTGTCATGTTTTTAATTCCCAAATGACAGTATTTTCCAAACTTGACAATAATTACTCCTATTTTGGGAATAAAAACATGACAGTCCTAGTTCAGAATTTACAAACGTTTTTGGTCCCATTTCGGGAACTTTCCCTAATTAATCTTCATAAATCCTAATTTTATATAGCGAAATAGCATCTTACGGAACATGAGATCATTAAAATCACCTCTAGCCAATCAGAGCATCTTCAATGCTATAATGTGCACGGTGCACATGTGGCATGAGTGATAGCCAGATAAATATTACCATATAAATTATCTCTCTCCTTATTTGAATGATTTTATACAATTTTAGTAAGTTTTTCCCTACAATGACAACAACAATGTAAACATCTAGACGGTCTCCTTGACATTGCAGGGAAAAACTTACCAAAATTGTATAAAATCATTCAAATAAGGAGAGATATAATTTATATGCTAATATTTATGTGGCTATCACTCATGCCACATGTGCACCGTGCACATTATAACATTGGAGATGCTCTCAAGGAAAATAATCTCAATTTTCACAAGGATTATTGAACTTTATCGTTGTTCAAACTTCGTAACCCGCAATTGAAAATTTATTATGGGACGGAGGTAGTATTTAAGTAAAATAAAATTTGTGTTGACTTTCTAAAAATACTCTTGTTTTTATTCAAAAAAAATTATACTCTAGTTTTATGTCAAACTAAACAAAAATTAATTGTTAATGTATTTGTCCTATATCGGAAAACTTTATTAAACAATAAAATATTATATAAGACTCTGAACTATTCCTCCTATCGACCTTTTAGGATGGAACTCAAAGTCTTAGCAGTAATTAAGTAAAAAGTAAACACAATTGTGATTTGTTGTTTAAGAGTGATCGATGTTCTTTTTGTAGAAATGTAAGATTCTTAGGATGTTTTTACTTGGACTGTAATTTGCTGGTTTGGTCTGGATTGTTTGAGCCTGATCTGGGTTGGTCTGATCTGTTTAAGTCTGGTCTGGTACGGTTTAGTCTGTTCTGGTCAGCTAAATGGCAGGTCTCTATGTATTTTATAACTACGGAAGTTAAGTCAATCTGGTCTGATCTGTTCTGGGTTCGAAAACAGTCCAAGTAAAAACATCCATTGGCACAAAAATAAAAATGAGAACATTTTTTTTCAAGAGGGAGGTAGTATGTTTTATGCAATTAAGTATTTTGGAATTGGGCATTATAGAAATAAACAAATCAAATAAGGACTTAAGGAGCTGAGTATGAATATATGATACAATTGAAATAGCTTATAATTAAGTAATCAAGCATTCAAACAATTTCAATAATCCCTTCAATTGGAATGGAAGCTCCCCTATATCATAGAATTGAAGTAGTATAAATCATGGGAGGAGCTAGGGGTGGGCCAACCTAGGCCATGGCCCATCCCAAATTTTAAAAAAGGCTTAATTTTTAAGGTAAAAAATTTCGTGTAAATTTTTCTCTAAAAATATTCTTTGTATCGGTCCAGTCCGGCCCTGCCTCCGCCCCTCGTATAAATAGGCTCCATTATTTGCTAGCTTGCGTACAAATTAATTACATAGCTTCGACGATGGGTGGCGATTGTTTATGCAAATATGTGATGATGGCGATAGAATAACAAAGCAGTATGAGTGCAAGTGGGGATAAAATGGATACAACAATGATCGTGAGATGGTGAGATGCGTGTAAGTATTTAACCGCAAACCAGAGGAACCCGAGGGCCTGCAAAAATAAATCCACCGCAAGAAGACAGTGCACTCGAAGCCATTCCAAGCGATTTGGCTCGTTATTAAGAGACCAGAATACAAGTGCGGAAAGCAAGGACGTCAAAGGAAACCTGTTACGGCCAAATGCCCGATATTTTAGTGCAATAATTACTACACTAATTGGCATCGCAAAAAGAGTGATGCAGAATCCCATAAAGATCAAATCCAGCAGATGTATATGTTCTTTTGGAAGAAAAAATCCAAAGGCATTCCATATGTCCCACACCTGGGAGGCAACCACTATGCCCCCTACAACCCATGCACCAATACCCAAACAACAACGCCTTGCCCAATTCGCAGGTTCCATTTTCATTCACCAATGCGATTAGTTATCTTGTTCGACTTCAAATGATATGAAAATGTATAAAATTGTTCCTACCTAGTTAGCTTGTTGTATCGATCGTATTTACCTTTTACCCTCATTTTATATACGATGTTTACGCTGCCAAATAAACCTGTCAAATTAAATTAAAAAAGATACTATACGCATGCACCAATGCCATTCATAATAATGATATGCCTGCATGGAGATATTTTGTAACAATAATTATATTTGTATGTAACTACCAATTAATGATATCTTTAATACAATGACTGTTGAAGTTAATCCCTCCACGCAGGGGCGAAGCCAGGAAAATGGTTCAGGGGGGTCGAAACTCAAACTATATACAGAATGAACTGTTTGATCATTTTTAAACAATGTCTAATTTGAATATTTCATATGCAGTTTACATAAATAGGCACTCGTGGCAAAAAGATATCTTGTTTTTGCTCTATTTCTGAGTCGTGTCACGTAAGTATTGAGTGATTTATACCCTATTTTTAAAATTTGGGAAAATAATCTAAAATATGCATCAAATTTTGTTAATTTTACGTTTAGATAGTGCTGATTTTGCAGAAGTCATAAGTTTTTACTCGTAATGAGTTATGGGGGACATAATATATCAAACCAAAAATATTTTAGAGCTCTATACTCTCAAACTTCAGCGGGGTCGGATGACCACCCTGACCCTCCTTGGCTCCGCCCCTGCCTCCACGGCTCCACAGTCGGAGAGCCCAACGTAGCCTTACCCATGTCCAAGCCTCTAATATGGGTGTTTATACTACAGTATGGCCGTATGGGTAATGTGGCGTGCACCGAAAAGTATTGGCTTTGTGTCCCACGGGACCCGGGACCCCACAAACTTTCAAAAAATACATATACATATTATATAGCTACCTCGTCCCACTTAAATGTTCTCATTGCAAAATGACACAATTATTTAGACAATAACTAAATAGGTAATCCAAGTGTATTTTGAGAAATAGTTGTGATATGTATATAATATAATGAGGTCATTGATAATAACTATATAATGTTATAAATGTATTATTTGTAACATTTGATCTGATAGATGATTAAATTGTGATTTAAAAAACTTTATATGGGACGTCCAAGAAAGGAAAGTGACAACTCTAGAATGAGCAAAGGGAGTATTAATATAATTGATATATTTTAGGAATTCTTGTGTATTTTGGCAACTCATATTTTATTATAAATATACCTGTCTGGGCTCCCAAGGCAATAACTCTTTCCCATTATTTCACATTTTCACATGGTATCAAGATCCCAAACCTTTTTTTTCTCTCTTGAATAAATCGCCGCCACCAAGATATGATAACCACGATGTCTCCTCCGCTGCGGTCCCCTCGTCCGGCGTCCAAACCTCCGTCGTAGCCTCCTTTAGCGTGGCGCCTAAGATGTCATCTTCTGTCACCACCACGACGGGGTCACAGGGCTTTTCTTCCTCGATGCCCACGGCTCAAGTTTCTGGCGCAGTGGGATCTACACTCTCGCGGCCGAGCTCCTCCACGTTGTTCACCAGTTTTCCGCCGCCACCCTTGTTCTCTACAATGGAACCCTACTCGCTTTTCCAGTCCTTGCCGCCTCGATTCCCGTGGCAGACCTTTGTTGGACCGTCTTCCGTGACTCCTCCGTCGGTGTCGTCTTCTCCATTTTATAGCTCCAGGTTCTCTGGTTCACCAAGTGTCATTTGGCCTACTGCGCCCACCGTGGTCTCTCCGATGGCATCACTTGCTCTGTCCATATCTCATATTACTGCTATCTCGCAAATTGTGGCCATTAACCTCATGGCCATTTAGGATTACCTTACCTCGCGCACGCAATTTGAATCATTCTTGGTGACTCAAGGTCTTTTTGACATGGTAGATGGCTCTATTCAGGTGCCCCCCTCTCCATGTATAACACTGATTTTAATAATCGTCAAGTTACTAATTCTGAATATTATCATTAGCGAATAGATCAAACCATTCAGTGCAGGATTTTTGCTACTCTTACTCGTGAAGTTTTAGATGATGTTCATAAATTAAAACATTCTTTTGCGATCTGGGAAAGACTTCAGACTCGATTCATGTCTGCTAGTTTACCTCGCGTTGTATGGAACTTAAACGATTATTATCCAACATGAAAAAAAGAACAGTCAGTCCATGGAACATTATTTGAGGGACATTAAAAATCTAGTTGATGGTCTTGTTGTTATCAATTCTATTGTGTCAGATAACGAGTTGCTTCGGACTATTATTTCTGGTTTGGGTCCTGAGTTTGCTTCCCTGGTTATCACAATCTCTTTATTTCCGGACAACTTTCCCTTTGATATTCTCCATCCCCGTCTGTTGGAGCAAGAACAACAAGTTCTCTATCAACGTCAATAGGAGATGTGTTAGGTCCCTCAGACTTTGATTTAACCTACTATTGTAAGAAATAGTTTTGATGATGATATCCTTCTCTTGTGTTTAGATTCTATTGTGAAAATTGTATACTCATTTTGCAAACAGTAGTATGCTCTCAAATTGCTTAGATAAGAATACTTTGTAAATGTGACAAAATTTAAAATGTACAAATTTTATGACAAATAAATATACTGGAAATTTAAAATACAATAAGGTAAAATTCTACCTTGCAAGGATATTCAAATCCATCCAGTATGTTTTTATTTGTTATAGAATTATTCTTGTCACTAGTACAATTGTGACCAATCTTACTTGTACACTTTCAGAAACACATAAACTTGACTGGAAATACAAAATGCAATAAGGTAATTTTAATTAGTTTAAAAAGGATTCTTTTCCTACCAGTTAAAATTATTTGTCAAAGAAAGACCAAGGTCACACAATATTTACCTAAGGCCAGAGCATCTACAAAAGCATGGGACACTACAACACGCACAGTTGCATGAGAAGACAAAAACCCACTAGCTGGTGAATAGTACGTGAAAGGCCTAAGCAATGGGTTTACATTTCCTGCGAAGCAAGTTGATCCAATTGTGTCTGAAGATAAGCTGCTCCAACACAAGAAGACGAAAGTACAAAAAGCCTCAACGACAAAGATTGAATCTCAACCAACGGAGGAGATTAATCAACCAGAGATGCCTATAAATTCCGGCATAAGCATGAGAAGAAAAACAAGCTCCTGAGTTCACTAAGCAGAGAAATCATACTACGCATTCAAAGAAGATATCCAGCAAAAGAAAGTGTTCATTAAACTCTGCTCTCTGCTTAGACTCATGCTTCACTAAACTCTCTAGACAGTAACCCTCATTGATATACTCAGAAAGTTTAGTTTTTAGTTGGAGGCTAGAAATTTGTTTCATATTGAAACTGTTGTAAACACGTATAAGGATAGCGTCAGCTAAGTCCTTAAGTGTGGTAGAATAGGATAGAGTACCTTTTGATCCCCACTGGATCAATTGAGAAAAACCTAAAGGATTAAGTAGCTTGGAGTGGTGTGTACTCCTAGTGAAACACCTTGAAGTCTGAACAAGTTGGTGATAACAGTCAGACCGTCACTAATTGTATTGGGTTGAATACTTTAGTGGAAATCCATCTGATAGAGGGTGGGACTGGATGTAGGAGGATTACACCACCTTTGAACCAGGATACATCGTTTGTTGATTTAATTTTTGTTAGCAAAGCTCACATCGAACACTTCTCTCAAACTACAGAAAATCCTGAGAAGAGTTCTGTCTCAAGGTCATCAAAAGACCTCGCTGGAGGATCTCTGACCCAAAGTTATCAGAAAACCTCGCTGAAGGGTCTCTGACCCAAGGTCATCAGAAGACCTCGCTGAAGGATCTCTGACCCAAAGTTATCAGAAGACCTCACTAAAGGGTCTCTGACCCAAGGTCATCAGAAGACCTCGCTGAAGGGTCTCTGACCCAAGGTCATCAGAAGACCTTACTGAAGGATCTCTGACCCAAGATAAGTTGTCCAAAATCCCAATACTTCTTCCTTCTTATCGTCTCAAAAGAAAGTTACCATACACAGTCTAATAAGAGGTTATGACTTCCGTTGTTATCCTTAATTTCCCAAAAGATTTCTGATCATCATATCTATGAGGGAAATTCTTTAAAAGTTCAAAAAGTTTTAAAAGTCTATTCACCCCCCCCCCTCTAGACTTTTACCTCTATCAGGGACCAACAAGTGGTATCAGAGCAGGTGTTCCTAGAGTAAGTTTCTAACTAAGTTTGAACTAAAGATCCAAAACTCACTCGTCTCCCAAAACCTCCAAGAATGGACAATCAACTTTCCAAAAATCTCCTGTTCAACTTCAACAAATTTGATGACTGGAAAATCAGAATGAAAGCTCATCTGAGTGCCTTACATGATGAAATGCTAGAAGTTATCACAGATGGACCCATCGAAATCATGAAGGTCATCACATCCAGAACCACTGAAGGAACAGATGATATGTACATTCCAAAACCAAAAATGGAATGGACAACTGAAGATAGGAAGAGAAACAATCTGGACAATGTTGCCAGAGACATCCTCTTCAAAGCTGTTGATGAATCCATATTTCCAATGATAAGGAAATGTGAGACTGCCAAAGATGTATGGGATGAGTTAACAAAGATTGGAACTGGCGATGAACAAGAAAAGGACAACAAACTAACTATTACTCTCAAGAAGTTTGAAGATTTCAGAATGTTGTCAAATGAATCCATCCATGATATGGAGTCCAGATTTCTTAAAATTATTGCAGAGGTCTCTGATCTTGGGAAGACTCTCTCCCAAAAAGAGATCTCTCGCAAAGTTTTAAAAGGACTACCATCAAGATGGGATATGAAGGTAACTGCCATGAGAGATTGCAGAGATCTCAGAAGTCTTTCAACGGATAAGCTCTTTAGTGATTTAAAAGCTTATGAGTTTGAAATGAAAGAGATAAAGGATGAAAAGGAGGAAGAGATCAAGACACTAGCCTTAGTGTCTGAACCTAGCACATCAAGATCAACAGAGAAGTCACTCAATGATCTCCTCACTGATGAACAATTTGCAATGTTTGTGACAAAATTTAAACGGTTCATAAAGGAAGGAACTACATCAAAAAGGCCATACACTCAGCAATCCAGAAGACAAGGTAGATCTCAACTAAGTGGGAATACTATTCTTTGCTAGAACTGTAGACAACCAGGACACTACAAAAATGAGTGCCCTCTCCCATTAGTACACAAAAATCAAGGGCAACAGACTACTACTCACAAGGCTGAATTCAAAAACTTCAAAGGCAAGCATCAAGCCTTTGTAAGTGAGAAA